ATTCAATAAAACCGTTTATTTGTCTATCAAATAAAATATGTCGAATGATTAAAACGAATATCACCCAAAAAGTAAAGCAACTAGATTATGAATTCTTTTGATATCCATTCGATACACACTTCTTTGATATCCACACAAAATGAAAGATTTGTTACTTTTTATCTACATTTACTGCTGTTATAACTTTTATTAATCAAAAGAAAATCGATATATTATTAATTTATCTTTACAAAACAAACACGATGATAAACTCCATTAAGAACAAATGACCGATATTAGTAGAAACGTGAATAAAAGTGTCCCAAAATGCTCGTTAACAGAATATGTAGCTTCCTTTTATTAGCATTGTATTTCAATTAATTTTATAGTTTAATACAAAATAATCGAAAGGTTAATCAAAAGCTTAATGTATGTCAGTAAATTTTAGTTAAATACAAAATAGTCTATTCACACACCTGCAAAATGCTGTTTTTCTGCAGTGAATTAAGTGCAGGAGTTCGTTGTTCCGAAAATTCCAGCGAAAAATAAAAACGAGTTGGAGACTAAAGGGCAAACGGAGAAAAACGGCGGAGTGTTGCCCGGCAAAGCACCATAAAGTCTCATTGGCTTTAATTCGGTCGTACCCCCGCTGGCCACTGGGGGTGATTAATCGTAACGTTACTGCAACACAAAAGCACCTTACCACCAATCATTCCCTACGATGCTTAGAAAGAAAGTCGACAATGTTGCTTAATACGTTCTCATTTAATTGATTATATTTGTCTTACCAGAAAAAACTATAAACCGAATATTTTATAAAATGCACGCTTATAATTTATTTTCAAAATAAAAATAATAATTATAGTTATTAAAAATATTCTATAAAATTATATATTATGTGTTTTTGTCAAGAAATTCTTATCAGTCGAAAAAGATTCTCAGTTTAATTCTGGGTAACTATTACAAATATCTATATTCCCATTTATTAAAATTCATCGTAAAGGAAAGGAAGGGCTTTCGGTTTATGGCGATGAAAAATTCAGTTACTTTTAAAAGGAAAGGAAGAAGGTCGGTCAATGTTTAATCTTTAAATAGAACAGGATGTACATTCTTATGCCTCCCGTTGTATCTCTTATTAAATCTTGGAAGTTCTTAAGACCTGTCTTTAATTTTTTATTAAGTCCACTTCAAATTGCTGAAAGGATCTGTAGATGAAAGTGCATCCGAATCATTTCTGTATATAAAAATTACGATGTTTCTTATTAGCTTAAAGCACAAATACAGTAATGTTTATCTTTAAAAAACTGCACTTAATTAAGTTAATTCAATTCCAATTTCCTACAAGAGTTATGTATATCTATGCCTGAGAACGGGACAAATATGTGAAAGAGTAAAACGTATAAAATAATTCTTATCCTTTATAAAATCGGAAAAACTTCAGACTTCATATATGTATACTACAATAAATATGACAGATATTCGGAAATGGAGTGTTTCTCTTAAATCCGCTCACCGGTGTTTAAAAGCGCAAAGTGTATTATCATCCCTCGAACATAATCCACGTACCGTGCACATGCAGGTCAAGTGAAACGAAATGAAACGTTTATGAATTCTCGAAGAGCACATTTATTTCCCTTCATGAATATGCATGTTACTCAATATTTTGCGGTACAGAAAACTGGTGACATATACATCTTAACGAAATTACCTTTTTAAAAAAAGGTAAAAAAAGGCGCCAAGTGTTCATGTACCTTCCATAAAAAACTGTATTTTACATAAACTAAAAAAAAACCGTTACATAAATAATATAGTTCAAGTGGTAATATTTTGTTAACTTTTTATTATAAATTACCCCTCAGTAGTACATATGCATGTATAAAAAAAAAATCAAATCAAATCTTTAAATTACGCCAATTCGAAAAAGAATATATAATTTCTTGCAACATATAACACATACTATTGTATTTTGTAAATTGCGAAAAGAACATATATTTTATTGCAACATATAACATTTAATTAACGAGACAAAATGATACGTAGCTTTATCTTTCTATTCAAGAGTCTTTTATATTTGCAATGGAATACAACATTTAATCTCAAAAAATTAAAGACGAAGCATCACAAAATGAGAAAATTTTATGAAAATAAAATTTTTTATGTAAAAAAACTTGGCGCGCTGCTAGACCTCAAAATATAATAAGTAAATGTTACAGAAAATGTTTACTGTAAATTTTACAGTAAATGTTACTGTAAAAGAAATAAACAATGTTTACTGTTTAATTAACATTAACTAACATTAAAATTAAAATCACCTTTACAATTAAGATTATAATTAATTTTAAATCTACTCTTAATTTTAACTTAAACCGCATGTCTTACAAATCTGAAATCATTATTCTAGCCTTATACGCTTTTACAATATATAACGCACACCATACAAATACTTATTCTACGAGTATAATAAATCTAAGCCGTATACCTATCTAAATCTGGTCGCACATATGAACACGCAGCATATTATTAATTCTCTTTCTTAAATCTCTTCATTACTTTTCATATTTGATATTTTTAATTATTTGCTCGTACACACACACA